CCCCTCCCCAACGGCCTCCTCTCTTCGATTTGAAGATGAGATGAAGAGAGGTTTCTGGTCGGGGGAGACGGAGAGACGCGCGGCCGGGCTTGAAGGAGTTTGTTTGCGCCCCGAGCCGCGTTGGGGCGACCTGGAGCCGTGCTGTCTCGGCGCGGAAACTCTCTGCGCGCGACAGACGGGCGGACGGACGGACAGGCACGCAGACAGACACACAGACAGACAGACAGACAGACAGACAGACAGACAGACAGGCGGACAAATAGACAGACAGGCGGACAGACGGACGGACGGGCAGGCGCCAGGTCTGCTTGGTCCAGCACCCGCACGCCCCCCTCCCCCGTGTGCGCCGAGCGCTCTGGTTGACACTGCACTCGACACCGGGCGTGTCGCTGATTGAGTCCTTCACGGTGCCCCCTCCCTGCCCCTCCCCCCCAACAAAAACCACGCTCTGCTGCTGACCCATTTCATTTCAGTTGTTTCACGGCTATTATTTCGAGGGTACTTTTCGCTACCATTTTTACCTGAGGTATGCGTATTTTGCGACCTTTGTGCCTTGCATTAGATTCAAAAGTGTGCAACTGGCATGCACATGGTAGTGTTCAACCCTATGGTGCACACTCTTAGGTGTTGGACTGGAAATTTTAATACTTCAAAGTGTCCAAAGCGTGATGGCTCATCCCGAAGTTGAACACTGTTAAGTGTTCAATTTCACTGTGAAACACTTTTCAGTTCAGTGGTCAAATGTCTAGTCAAAGTGTGCGACCAGCGCAACGTAGTGTTGAGCAGTTGCATGTGACGACGTGATGCGTGAAAGATTCACATCCGCATCGATCAGAATATCCGTGGAGCTGCTGTGGGCTGCTTGACTCCCCCTCAGATTTTGAGGAACCTCCTCAAAAAATGAGCAAATCTCCAACAAGACTTCCTCGAAATCTGAGGAGCTTTCCTCAAACCAAGGGAGTTCCTCAAAATTTTTCCTTTTCCGTCAAAACATTAAACATTGTTTTTACCGTGCCGAACCTCAAATGCCTATTGCCCCGAGTGTGAACAGCAGGGGACACATGTCCTTGCTATGGGCAATGGGCACTATAAGAAACCCAACCTCCGAAGGAGAGGCAAAAAAACTCATCTTCCTCCCACTGCCAGAGTTCGACAATCGAAAACAATAACGGATGACAAAGAAACGTTGTCTAGCCCACGCGGCCATGGCGGCCAGTGGAATAGTGGGCAGCAGGAGGAGGGTATGGGGAGAAGGAGAGATGGAGGAGAGACAGAGAGACAGAGACAGAGACAGAGAGACAGACAGACACAGAGACAGCGAGCGAGCAAGTTTGGCGGAGAGCGCCCACCTTCGGGGGGATAGGCACGCCCGCGGCACACCGGCGCCCGGCGCGGTGGCATACCTCCCGGTCTACAGGCGGCCGTCAGGCCACGCCGCGCCACGCCGCGCCACGCCACGCCACGCCAGATGCCGCGAGCAGGCCCTGGGGGGTAGGGAGGGGTAGGGAGGAAGCAGCAATCAATATTTGATACACGGCAGCCCGTGCGCTCCAATGACAGATTTGACCGTGCCGTGACGGTCCGCGCCAGACTGAGACGTCGGCTTCCGGGCGGCCCGGCACGCCCGAAGGTGTTGTACAGGCCGCGGTGAATGATTCAAAAAAGAAGTGTGGGGGCGGAGGGGTAAATAGTCGGTTTTATGGCGGTGGGGCATTATTGTCAAGTGGCCTGGAAAGATGTGTGCCGGACACAATGCTTTCCGATTCCGATACCACTCCCTCCCCTGCGGAAGGCATATACCTCCCGGCAGGGCAGGGCAGGGCAACCCCGCACCGCACACGCGGAGGTGCCCCCGTGACGCTCTTCCTGTCCCTTTTGATTAGATATTTATAAAACCGGAAAAACAGGAAAATTTTGCGGGAAAAAAACGAAAAACCATGAGAAATAACGAAAATTTTCAACAAAAAAGACCCTTATTTTCTCGGTTTTCACGGAAAATTTTCCGCATATTTTCCGGAAAATTAAAATCTCTACTTTTTCTTCCTCTCTTTCTCTCTCTCTGGTCAACAGGTTGCGCGTGTCACCCATGTCGTTTGAGTTTTTTGTGTGTCGGTGGAGGGGGCTACGCGACACCTCGGCTGCTGACCGCACTGCCTCTTTGCCGCAGGTCCAGCAGCAGCTGCCCAGCCTCTTCCTGCGGCTGTTCCACACGCCGGCCGTGGACCGCTTCCTCCGCACCCTCATCCTCTACCTCTTCCACTACATCCAGGTGCGTCCCTCCCCCCTCCCCTTCCCCAATCGCGCGTGGCCCCGCGCAATGGTTCATAGATGAATAAAAGCC